CCCAAGTTAAGAAACGTCCCATCGAGGCTGTGGGCAAAGCAAGAAGCGACTCCACTACTTTGGCCCTGACGGACATATTGAGGAGAGCAGAACTTAATTCATGCCTCAGAGGAAAGTCCTGGAGTCCCCGATTGAACCAGAGTTGAACCAAAAGAGAGATGAGGACCCGAAGGGAACTGCCTCAGTCACATCAGGAAACGGGGTTTGCAGAGCAAGTGGCACCTAACATTGGCACCGTTGTTGCCAGACTCCACCGTTATAAGATCTCCCACATCTTCATACATATCCTTGACGTAGAGGAGTGCCACAATACAGCTACCAGCGAAGATCTGAGATTTATCGTGTAGCCTCTCCTTCTTAGGGCAGACCTCAGGGCCAATGAACGCTTCTTTGGTATAAAACCGCGCGTTAAACAAGTGGATGTCCTTGGAGCGAAACGTGTTGAGCCCAAAGTGCCAGAGAATCTTCGTAACGTCCCTGGTAGTGAGAAAGCCGTGCTCTCCCAGAACTGGGATACTGTCTGAAATCAGTGGGCCTTGATTATCGATAATGAAAGGTGTGAGCTCACGAACTGTGATGATTTGGAAGTGCTCCCCGACCTTGGCCTTGAAGGTGTTCAAGCCTGTAAGCTGGGGAACGAAAACCATAATGTAGCGCCTTGAGCTGGTATGGTCTGTGCCGCCCTTTGGGGCGAAAATTGGGCATCCAGAATGATCGTACTCCAACTGGGACTTCAGCACTGGAGGGCCTAACTTGCTGATCCAGGGCTTCTTATCCTGTTCCCAGCTCTTTGGGGCAGGCTGCGACTTTCGGTCAGGCGAGTCGACTTCCGCTTCAGAGCCAGAGGATGAACTCCTGGAGCCTGGTGATTCCGAAGACGGTACTTCCCAAGTAGTGCCGCCCACCGGTTTGACAGGTGTTTCCCCACGGTAGTCCTGCGTATCTGGTAGGGCATCATCCGAATCGGGCTTCGACCCCGACCCGCCGCCCTGCGGTTGTTTCTTGAACCCAATTGAGTACTGCATCTTCCTGGCAATCGGCGAACGGCTCCGAGAGGCAGAATCTCCCCTATGCACAGGTGCTGGGGGCGGCGTGGGGAGAATCCTTGCTTCGCGAGGGTCAGCACTGGAGGATGCCTTGGCTTTGAGACCCTGATTCTTGAACTCGACTGATCTTGCTTGTTCCTCCTTCTTCTGTTCGAGCTTCTTCTGCAACTTGACTTTCTTCTCATTCGAGGTAAGAATGGGCTTCGTTTCCATCTTGACCAGACGATTCCGAGCCCAACGATCTAAGGCGTGGCGGTCGAAGCCAAAGAAAAGGGGGATAGTCGGCTGAATCTGATTCCCAGTCCAATCCAGATCCTGAGAGTAACAGGTGTCCGTGGTGAGAGTAAAGGAGGGCCCCGCAGGGCGCAGTACGATAGCAAAGTGTGTCTGGTTGCACCAGACAGAGCCGATGGCTACTGAAGGCGAAGGTGAAGCGGTTGCCGAACCCAATCGAGCATTTCTTTAGCGAGGCCCAGACGAAACTTTTTGTCCCGAGAGCCCTGCGGAGAAAATAAGGTGGTCCAGGCATCCTTGTCATACCTGAAAACGTACCCCCTATGCGAGCGGGAGTGGGTACGGCTGCCACCAGAGTGGTCAAAGGAGCGATTCATAATAACCCAATGCTTGCAATATTGAAACAGCCTCGACGAAAAATCTTCTGGATGTCTTTGCATGTGTGAAACCCAACTAATAGCAGAATCCAAATGGAAAATAGCCCATGAGACTTCTTTGAACCCCTTGGTTTTACGATTTCTGCGTAAACTGAATTGTTCGGGGGATTCCCCTGGGAGCCTTTTGAGTTTCAACATGATCCTGATACATTGATTCTGTGCCTTGGTAATCAAATCCGCCGTCGTCTTACAGGGGACCCAGGCAGCACCTCTGGATCGTATAATCCCTCCCGCCATGCAGTTAAGTTTAGAGAGGCGTTTAGACATGGGGATATGCTCATTAATCAGGAACCTACTGTTAGCCCAAAAGGCCCTGTTGATCTGTGAAATACCCTGCTTGACATCTTCGTGACAGGAACCAGTGGCGGAGAGAATAGGGCCCAGCACCTTGGCCTCCGGTACTACAGACCAAGATTTCCCGAAGGGGTCTGACCACTTGTATCCTTGAAAGAAGTAGGGGTATGCCGGGAGGATTTCCCGATCGTCTTTGAGTTTGAGCCGATGTTCATTCCATAGCTCCGACTCTACCAGGGCAGTCAGAGTTGCAAGATCTTGTTCCGAGGAAGCCACCACGAAGATATTGTCTGACCAGCTGAGAAGAGCAATCCTGAAGTCAAATCCCAACTGCTCGCAGCGAATGGAAATTCCCAAAGAAGAATGGGTAATTTTCTCCAGTGTGGAGGCGAAGCAATCTTCTACAGAAACGCGCGCCAGTATGCATGCCGTCCCAGCTCCTTGCATCAACCCACGGTCTCTTTGGATAATCCCAGTGTTTGAGTCCAAAAGTGAAATGGAAACTCGAGGGTTCCTGTGCAACCTGATGCAGCCCACCGCTAAGAAAAGAGGGACTCCCCGTCCCAATAAACTCCGCAAAACCAACCCATAACGAATCTGGTCATGGTGAGCTTTGATATCAGTCATCCCAACCATTCCTTTGTTAAAGTGATCTCGGCCATATTCTAAAATGTGGTAGACACTCGTGTGAAGTTCTTGTAATTGTCCACCTTTGCTTAGCCCAAAAATCAGGCCCTTGAGACCTTTGGAGTCAGTGTATGAATCCAGAACTGGCAAAATGGCCCTCGCCACATATGCGTGCCCAATCTTGGCAATAGCAGGCTGAGGAATAACAACTCTAGTTTGAGAAGGGGTTCCAAAACCCTTGATCTTGTTACCCAGGTGGCCCCCGAATGTGACGTCGTTCCAGAATTCAGGGTTGCCTAAGCAGGCTTGTATACACCCCGTGAGCCTTTGGGACCAGCCCGAAACTTTTATAACCGCCTTGCAGGCAAACTCTGTGTCGATCTTTCGGGGGGCCTTGATGTCGTCCAGCGCGTCCTCTAGCAAGGAAGGGATGATAGGGTCGTCGTAGAAATTGAAAAAACCCAAAGATCGGAGCCAGGCGATGTCCTCCTGGCGCTCCAATTCTGAGAGTCCCCACCTCTCTCTATATTCTTCAGCAACCAGTGTGGTACAGCGGAGGACGAGGAGGAGGAGGGGGACGAGGAGGAGGAGGGGGGAGGTTGGCGATGGGGGGGGGAGGGTGGTAGTGCACGACACGCTTAGATATGTAGTGTATCTTGCTTTGTACGGAACATAACAGAACTCGCAACTGAACCCGGAAGGACGGGGCAACGTGCCGCCCCCGCATGCCCCCATCGCACACGAACAATCGGTCTCATCGATACTGTCGGCGATGACAGTATCATCGCTATCGTCAGCAGGGGGGTGCGGGGGGTGCGTGGGGTGGGGGGGGGGCTATCATCGATGCCATCGACATCAACATCGTCAGCAGGTGGGTGTGGGGGGTGGGGGCTGTGCACATCACAGGTGACCGCGGGTGTGTGTGGCCAGGCTGGATCACGAGCGGGCTTGGAGGCAAGGGCCAGGATGCTCCTCTCGAGCACGCGCTGTTTTCACACCGGGGGCGCATCTAAATCCTCTGGCTCTGACTGGGGCCCCAGCGTTCTGATCGGAACGGCGAAGCGACGCGTCTTAGCGTCAGGGGCGTCGCTGGGGATCGCGAGCCCCGCGATCAACCAGCGCTTGACTTGCCGCAGACACTCCTGGTCCGACAGCACAGCTTCGCCTGGCCGACCCTTGTATCCAAGGTTCCGTTTGCACACCGCCGCCTCGCCAGCATTGCAGTGGAGGCCGCGCGCGCCTCCCCACCCGCGCTGGGGGCCGCCCTCCTCGAACGCGGGTGCAACCTGGAACGGGCCCCAAGGGATCGCCACCTTCTGGCGCTTGCGCCGCGCTGGCAGCGGCACCACTGGCGCCGGCGGCGGCGGCGGCGCAGCGCTGCCGGGCGCCCCTGAGCTGCTCGCTGGGGCTGCGGCAGGCGGCGGCGGCGCAGCGCCGCTGCCGGACGCCCCCGAGCTGCTCGCTGGGGCTGCGCCCGGCGGGCCTGGCTCGCCTGGGGCGCCAGCTGGGGCCGCGCCCGATGGCCCCGCCGCGCCCGGGCTGCCTGATGCCGCCGCGCCCGACGGTGCGGCTGCGCCAGACGCACCTTGGCCGAGGGCGCCGCGCGGCGGCTCGGGGTCGGACTCTCCGCCGCTGTCAGAGCTACTGTCAAAGGCAAGCACCCGCCTGAACTGCCCTGCCCCTGGCATCAGCCCCTGCGCCCCAGGCAAAAGCTCGCCTCCTGCATACACTGTAGTGGCAAGGCCTTGCCCGACCTGGTGGAACCCTCCCAAAAAACGATTGAACAGCTTCACGGTCTTATCGTCCACATCCTTCACGCCATACGGATCAGCGACAGGAGGGCCGCCGGCAACAGCTGCAGCGGCTGCAGGTACAGTGACCTCGGTGACCCCCACAGATCTCCCTTCCCTGAGGGGGGGCGGCGAGAGGGAGGGGGGGGGGGGAGGGGGGAGGGGGGGGAGGGCGAGAGAGAGGGGGGGGAGAGGGGGGGGGGAGGGGAGAGTGTCCTGGGGGAGAGGGGAAAGGGAGGGAACTGGCCCGGCGGCAAAGGTGGAAGTCAGGGGGGGGGGGGGGGGGGCGTCTCCACGGGCAAACAGGCCCGCGGCCTCGATCTCGCGACCTCCGTGCGATAGCATAGTAACAACGCTCCGTGCGATAGCATAGCAACAACGATTGCATAACACTGACGATCAAACCCATCAGCAGTCCGTGCGATAGCATAGTAAGAACGATCAAACCCGCCAGCGTCACGACATCACCATGGGCGTGAGTATCGCCGCCATGCGCACGGCGCCCGAGTACTGTCAACTCCCCCAATCCATCGAGCATCCCCCCCCCCCCCCCTGCCCCCATCCGCTACCTCCTAGGCCATCCTCCCCGCCAGGTGCGCTAAGCTGCGGACGGCAACCAAGTCGTCGACGATCACCTTGACCTCTCCTCGGCCCTCAACCTCTCTCCGCGCGAGCGGCGCGTCGCGACGTCCAGTGGGGGTCGTGCGAAGAGGCTGACACACCAGGCGGTGCCCCGCTGCAGGGGCCATGGGGCGCAACAAATACTTGATGACCGACATGTGGTTGAACACACGGCCCAGGGCATCCCGCAGGGTGATGGCCGTGCCATGCTCGACGAGGTCACCTGGCATAAAGAAGGCCATGGGCGGGTCGCTCCCGCGCAAGTGCGCGACCCAGAAGTAGTCGCTGTGCTGGTCGATCGGGCCCCCCGGCGCGTCCGCGCTGTCGATGTAGAGGTACACCCGGCGCGACAACATCGAAGACTCCCAGAGATACCTCCACAAATGCATCCCCGAGTCCACGCAACATGTGTATATCGCCGCATCCGAATCCGAACACAAGCCAGGGTGAAGCTGCCGGCATGACATCTCCAAGTGGACCTTGGCAGCCTTCGGAATGTGGCCCTCGTCCTTGACGAAGATGCCCGCGTCGAACTCGGCCCTGGCGGACATGCCCGACGAACGAAATGACGAGTCAGGACGCGCCCCGGCTGCCTCCATGAAGTTCTCGGGCGAGATCGGCAAGTCCTGACTCCCTAATCCAAGCAGCGATGACCCAGCAGCGGCCGCCTGCGCCGCCTCCGAGTCAAAGGAAGGAAGCGGGGCGCTGACGCGGCCCAGCGCGCGGGCGGCAGCGCGCGCCCTGGCGAGCCCTTCCCATCGGAGACGCTCGGCATCGGGAAGATGGCGGAACCGTGCGAACGCCGCCTGGCGCGACGCCAACTCGGCATGGGCGCCCGCGCCAGCCTGGCGCTGCGCATTGGCGCACAGGAGCTGCGCGCTCGGGCGCCGCGACAGCCTCGCACCAGCCTCAGCAGCCCTTGCAGCACTGACCAGCGGCACGCCTGCTGCAACCGCAGCGTCGCTGACCTCTCTCGTCGGATCATGGCCATCTCCCTGCAGGTGGCGATGGAGGCACTGCGTCATCAAGCTGTTCGCGCAGACGCGCTCACAGACGGGGTGGGCCCCAGGGACGCACTGCTTCACGGAAGCGAGCAGCCTCTCCAGATGCATGTTGCATGTCATACCGTGTCTCGCAAACAATCTGAATGCAGTCCAGAAGCTGTCGTCCGCAAGCATTCTGTCGGCATCCCGCCACAGGCGTCGGAGCCCCCCTCACCCGCCGGACTGGGCGCAAGCGTGCGGTCGGGGGCGCATCGCGTCTCGACTCACCCCCTCCACGCAAGGAGGACGAGGACGGGGCGGAGGCAGAGGATGGGGGGGGCGGAGGAGGAGGGGGAGGAGGATGGGGCGGAGGCGGCGAGGAGGAGGCGGCGGCGGCGGGGAAACGGGGGGGGGGGGAATCCAGAGAGGGCCCCAGGATGGCCACAAGACGGCTGCAAGAAACCTTCGAGCTAGCATCGCTCAATACAACGTCAACTTGATGGGCATCGGTTTTTTGTTTGATGGGCTGGCGGGGGTGCGACGCGCGCGAAGCGCCAAGGATTTCACAGACATCTTCTGTTCTAGGCAACACTCCTTGACACGCCAGAAAGCGCGCACCTCGCGGTCGAACTCCGCACGCGGTAAAGAGAGAGCGCGCACTAACCTGAACGGCCAGTCTCGGAACACGTCGATGAAGCGCCACTGGTGTTGCACATAGACAGATGTGAGGATGCGAAACATAATCTCCTGAACAAGCCGCAATCCAGATGGCCGCTCCGCGTAATGATACAGCAGCGTGCCTACAGATGTGGACTCGGGGGGGTCCTGAAGCATTTTCCAGATCTCCGACTGGACCAGCACAAACGGGCTCGTGTGATCAGCGACGACGTGCTTCAAAGACGAGCCATGCGCATCCAAGTACTCCAGACGCAACCACAACCAATGAGACGGGCGCCCCGCCCAGTGCGATGCCATCGCACGGACCCCGAACAAAGGATCACTCGTGACCTTACAACTCCTGGCAATTTTCCCCCGAACCCATTTTCTGTAGTCCTCGTCGTTCGTCGAGTCGGCAACAGCGTCGCCATCGCTGGCCTTCCGTGGGAACGCCAACTCCATAGCTCTGCCAATCACCCCATGCAAGAGAAAACCCGGGGCCTGCTCCGATACGGCCGCGCCCAGCTGCCCCCACCTGATGGGCGGGCGGACTGCAACCGCGCATGGGCCCCATCTCAGCGTCCTCCCCGCTCATCCTCCGCGCCCATAGCCGCCCTCCCTCGCCTCCACCTCCCCCTCCGCCTCCGCCCTCTCATCCTACGCCTATCGCCCCCCTCCTCCTCATCATCCGTCCACCTGCCCCCCCGCCTCATCCCCGTCCTCGTCCTCCTCCGCCTCCACCTCCCCATCCTCGCCCTGATCCTCCCCGGCCTCATCGCACCGCCCCCTCCCGCCTCGTGCCCACTCCTCCCCCGCCCTCATCCTCCCCCATCCTCGTCCGCAGCCCTCCTCATCTATCCTCCTCGTCGCGTCTCCCGCCGCCTCCCTCCTCGGCCACGTCCTCATCCGCAGCCCCCTCACCCCCACCCCTCCCCCCCCCCCCTCTGTCCTCCTCCGCCGCCTCCGCCCTCCTCCCCCCTCCTCCACCGCCTCCTCGTCTCAGGGAAGGGGCTGTGCAGATTCTGCCCAACTGCCGACGCCTGCTCTTCGAGGGCCCCGCGCAGCCGCCAGCCAGGGAAGCGGCGTCCAGCAGCGCCGCGGCGAAGTTCCGGGCAGCCGTAGCGCGGTCGCAACACTGCCCACAAGCCCGCTCAAAGTGCACGAGGCGACTCGACCTGGGATCGCCGTTGCAGAACTGCAGAATCCGAGCGATCTTGTCGCGAACGGCCTGGGCGACGTCCTGCGCGGGGGGGCGGGCGGGGGGGTGCAGGGTGGAAGGGGTCGCTGGTAGAGGCCGATAAAGCACGGGGGCAGGCGAGCGACAGGTGGAGCGGGGCGGCGAGGGGGGCAGGCGGGGGTGAGAGTGGAATGAGGAGCGTGAGCAAGGGGCGAGGCGCGTGAAAACCGCGAGGGGTGATGGGGGTGGGAGATGCGACAGCAGTCCTCCCTCAACCCCCCGCCCCCTCTACCCATCGCCCCCGCAGCCGTCTCCACCGCCGTGCCCTTCTCCTCGGCACCCTCCAGCTCCTCCGCTACATCCGCCCTCCGCCTCCCCGGTCGTACCCCCCTCCCCCTCACACCGCGCGCATCGATGCTCACCTCCCCTAGTTCACATCCTCACCCCCTCGCGGCGGCGCAAGTCCTCAGCAGCGCCAGTCGGGGAATCTGACGAGCCCAGCACGGACTTCCCCATCGTGAACCACAGCGCCTCGCTCAAGTGCCGCCGCCACCTGGGGTCGGGCATCTCAACCGTGTCGAACGTGAACTCTGAGCCTAGGGCCAACTGCTCGATGGCCGCGCTCAGCTGGTTGTGATGCGAGGTGGGCCGATGTACCGCGGCGTTCGCGTGGATGTCCCCAACCAGGGTGTGCTCGTCAATGGCCGAAGTCATGATTCGATGCTCCTGGCGGCATCCATCTTCCCTCCTCATCGTCGTCGCCCCCCCCCCCCCCGTCTCTGCCCCTCATCCCCCTCCACCCTCCAGGAGGGGCGAGGTCGAGGAGGAGGGGCGAGGGGGAGGGGGTGGGGGGGGGGGGCGAAGGGAGAGAGGCGAGAAGGGGGGGAGAACAGCAGCAGCAGAAGGAGGAGGAGGAGGAGGAGGAGCAAGAGGAGGTGGAGGACGAGGAGAAAGAGGATGTGGAGCAGGCAAATCCTGGTGCACGCAACACATGCTCAAGGGGTGTTCCAGGATGTTTCTCTGGTGGGCGACCTGCATGTGAAACCAGTTGAGCAACCTAGCATTCGCCTTCGCAGCGTCGGGGACGGACGACAGGATCACGAATGGGACCTCCTCCGCAAGCCTAAGCAAGGCATCGACGCTGAAAGGAGTGCCCGACCCAAACACGGCCGACCACATGGTGGACGCCTTGCCGTTCTGCAGAAAAACGGGCGCCAGCGGGGCGTGATAGCGGGCCTCGGCCCCATCGTGCCTGGCCACGGCGATGGAGCAATCCTGGGCCAGCAGCTCGAGCGTGCCGCGACCTGGCAAGCCCCGGAGGCCGAACTTGGCCCTGAAGGTCTCGAGGTCGCAAGTCCGCCACGTCCCACCAGTGGAGGCATCTTGGTAGAAGTACGTCGCATGAGGAGCAACTTCTACAGCGCGCCGGCCAAAGGTCACGCGCCATGGAGTCGCGTCGAAGGCGCGGCTCAGCACAACGCCCGCGATCCTGTGGTCCCTGAGCACGCGCCGAGCCGCCGAGGCGAGGGCTCGGGCATAGACGCCCGACACCGCAGAACAGAGCTCCAAGCTCCGCCTGGTCTCGCCCATGGCGTTCCGCCAGCGATGTGTCCCGCGAGCGGCAGCGGCGTTCGCGAGGCGCACCTTGCCACGCAGGTGCCGATGCGCCGCTGCCTATGTGCGGGAGGGGGGCAGGCGACATTTCACATCATCATCATCATCATCATCATCATCATCATCATCATCACCACCATCATCGTCGGCATCATCAACAGCACCTTCATCGGCGGTCATCTCCATCACCATCTCACCTCCTGCTCCCTCCTCATCCTTTTCATCACCTCACCTCATCCTTGTCATCACCGCACCTCATCCTTGGCATCACCTCACCTCGTCCTTGTCATCACCGCACCTCACCTCATCCTTGTCATCACCTCACCTCGTACTCCCATCTCCTCATCTTTCCATGCTCCTCGTGCTCCGCAGCGCGCCTGCACGAGGCCGACGGGCCGCTCCGTGTCGCGGCGCCGGCGGCGCCAGCGACCTCGACCTCCGGCGCCGACCTCGCCTCCGCCTCCTCCTCCTCCTCCTCCTCCTCCTCCTCCTCCTCCTCCTGGCTCGCCGAGCCGCCTCCTGCCGCGCGCCGCGGCCGCCGCGCCGAGGCACGTGTCGCCCAGCCGCAGCTGCCTGGCGGGGAGGGGCGAGGGGGATTAGGAGGGCGAGGAGCGGAAGACAGAGGGGCGTGGGAGGGCGCGGATGGGAGAGGGGGAAAGGGGTCGGGGAATGAGACAGAAGAGGGGGCATGGGGGGGTGGGGGGAGGAGGGAGGGGTGGGGGGCGGACTAGAGAAGGGGGATAGAGGAGAAGGCGGAGTGGGGCGACGAGATGTAGGGCGAGGATGACGGGGGGGAGAGGGGACGGACGACGGTGACGATGAGCACGAGGACGACGATGACGACGACGCGACGGACGACGACGATGAAAAGGAGGGGTCGACGATGACGACCACGATGTCGATGTGAAGAAGGACGAGGGCGCCCCCGCCTGCGGTTGTGAGCCGCGGCGAGGGCGTCGAACGCCTCCTCCAGCCGCCGCCGCCGGCCAGAGCGGCCAGAGCTGGGCGGCTCCGCGGCAGCGCGCAGCCGCCCAGCTGCGCGCGAGCGCACGGGCGGGGCGCCCTGCGGCCGCGCCTGGGCGACGACGGAATGAGGGCGACGAGGGGGGGGTGGCGACATGCGAGAGGGATCACACGCAGCGACAAGGGAGGACGAGGAGGAGGAGGAAGAGCAGGAGGGGGAGGAGGCGGACCGGGAGGAGGAGGGGGAGGGGGAGGCGCGATGATGATGATGATGATGATGCTGATGATGATGATGATGATGATGATTGTTCGGCCTCCAGGGGCCCTCACTGGGTCTCAGGACCGTCGAAAAACGACTCGGGCTGAAAATCCGTTCCCGGGGGAGGGGTCCAGAGTTCTGGGGGTGGACGCTGCGAAAAAGTCACGACGTCGGGGGTCTGGGGGGAGCGCCCAGGCCGCTGGGCGGGGCTCTTGTGCTTCGAGGTCGGGTGTCTCAGGGCACAGGTCAGGGCTCATGTCGATCCCTTCCTCCTCCTCCTCCTCCTCTTCCCCCTCCTCCTCCGCGCCATCAGCATCATCATCATCGTCATCATCATCATCATCGTCATCCTCATCATCATCATCATCAGCATCATCGTCATCCTCATCATCATTCTAATCATCATCATCATCATCATCAACATCATCATCAACATCACCATCATCATCATCATCATCATCAATCGAAAAGTCTCTCAACCTTGTCCCCCTCATCCTCCTGCGCTCATACCAATCCGACCCCGTCACCCCCAAGCCTGCGGCGGCCGCAGCCCAGCGAAGGCCGCGGCCACCTCGGCGGGGCCAGCGCTGCCCACCGCCGGCGGCGCGGCCCCCCCCGGGCCGACCAGGAGCCCTGCCTCCGCCGCGTCCAAAATGGACATCGGCGGGGCCTGAGCCCTGACCACCCCCCCCGCCCACGCTCGCGGGCGCGAGAGCGCTGGGAGGGGAGGGGCGGGGCGCGCGGAGGAGGGGGCGCAGCAGCAACAAGCGGACGAGGAGCAGCAGCGGCAGATGGAGGTGGAGGGGCTGAACGCCACGGGTGGGGGGGCGCGGGGCCTAGCCAACCCACCCCCATATATCACGAGGGCACCCCCGGGGCCCGAATCATACATCAACCTGCAGGCCGCGACGCGGAATTGCCGATTTTGCGTGTTACACGTGTTGGTGGTGGTGGCCGATGTTTTGGTTTTGTTGTTTTTTGTTGATTGTTTGGTTGCGTTTTTTTGGTATGCTTGGTTTTTTTTGGTTTCGGATATCCGGCCACCAAACCGTATATCTGTCCGATCAGCGAGCGACGGGGATCTGCAAGCTATGAAGGTCCACCAGAAGCTCCAATAAACCATCGAAGCAACCCCAACCCCGCGATAAAACGATACAGCACCACCCTCGCTTTAGCCAACCTGTCCCCGTAAACGACCCTCAAGCAATTGGGCGCCTTCCCCCCTCCTCCCCCGCGCACTCCGAAGACGACGACCTCCCGCAGAGATCCGTGGAAAACTCTGGGCGCCTCTGGCAAACCACAAGTTGCCAATGAAGGCAGGCGAGCACATAATTCAATCGATGTCGGATCGGCGATCGAAATGAATCGGATCGGCGGAAATCTGAAACCGAATCGGGAGAAACCAGCTCGGCAGGAATCGGCGGGCTAGTAGGCATTCAATGAGAAATCGGCATCTGAACCGGAATCCGAGGTCGAAACGAATGGGAGTCGTAAACCGTCTGCACCGAATCAAATCGAATCA